TACAGACATCTGCTATGATAAATTTATGTATAATCCAAGAGAAAACATTGAATATTGGGGACAGCAAAATTGTGAGCTGAAACTACACAGGCCTACTTATTTTTAAATTCTACCATCATCACTTATTGCAGAGGCTTGAGCCAAATGCTTGAATCAGGTTTTGGAGTGTGAAGGTTTTTCTTCTTTAATATGATAGCACTCGTTCCTTTCTTAAGCCTCTATTTGAGGATTAAACAAAAGATATGTAATGTCTATGAAAGGGATTTGCACAACCTCTAGACTGTGGCATTTGTTTATTCACATTCTGTGGTCTTTGTTAAACAACAACAAAAATGTCAGGTAGATAGAACTAATAAAAAGAAATTAAAGTACATTATTCTAGTTCCCTTGAGCTGGAGCAATAGCACAGTGGTAGGGCGTTTGCCTTACACGAGGCCAACCTGGCCAAGCGGGGTTCGATTCCTCCACCCCTCTCAAAGAGCGCGGCAAGCTACTGAGAGTATCTACCCTGCATGGCAAGCATATTCGATATGCAAAACACAGTAACAAGTCTCACAATGGAGACGTTACTGGGCCTGCTCGAGCAAATTGATGAACAATGGGAGGACAGTGCTACAGTGCTATTCTACTTCCCAAACCAAATCAGACAGGAACAGAAAGAATCGATTGTTTACCAAAAAGGCTGGAGCAATCAGCATCCCCACCAGCAGTGAAGGAGAGTCTCTTTCTCCCCACATCCACGCCAACACCGGTTGCTTTTCTTTTGGATGTGTGCCAGTCTCTGTGGTGTGAAATGATATCTCATTGTTGTTTTGATCTATATCCCCCTGATGATTAGTGATGAAGAGCATTTTTTCTCATGTGCCAAAAGGAGAGACAGTAAAAGGGAATGTGCCTGCCACAGAGGGGGGGAAATGGGGGAGGTGGCAGGAGGGATACTGGAATCATTGGTGGTGGAGAATGGGCACTGGTGGAGGAATGAGTACTCGATCATTGTATGACTGAGACATAATCACAAAAATTTGTAAGTTTGTAACTGTATCTCATGGTGATTCATTAAAAATAAATTAAAAAAAGAAAAAAAAAGAATCAATTGCAGAAATAGCAATAAGAAATGTGGACTTCAGGCTTTTATACTGTTAAGAGATTCTGTAGCACTGTAGCACTGTCCTCCCGTTGTTCATTACTTTGCTCAAGTGAGCACCAGTAACATCTCCATTGTGAGACTTGTTGTTACTGTTTTTGGCATATCGAATACATCACGGGTAGCTTGCCAGGCCTTGCTGTGTGGGCAGGATACTCTCAGTAGCTTGTCAGGCTCTCCAAGAGGGACAGAGGAATCGAACCTGGATCTCCGGATTGACTGTGTGCAAGGCAAATGCCCTACCCGCTGTGCTGTCTCTCCAGTTCAAGAGATTCTAATTAACCTAATTAAGATAAAGGGACCTTAATTGGCCTCAGGGAAACTCCCTGGGATAAAATTTTGAGAACACAAAGATTTGTGCTGAATGCTTCTCAGAGAATAAAACCTGAGGGCACATTCAGTCAATTGACAGTATAATAATTGATTCTGATAGAGACTTTAATATAACCACAGCAGCAAAATAAAAGTTGCACCATTATCTGTATGTCATTATTATTATTATAGATTTACATCTTCTTCCTTATTGAAATAAGCAGGAGTTTTAAACTAACACATCGTTTTGAATTAGTTATTTTTTAATCTTATGTTTAAAATTAAGTATAATTTATAATTTGTCAATTTCTCAAAGCCAGAATTATTCTGGAATTAATTTGAGTTTTTCCATAAAATAATTATCATTTGTATTTAGTTTTCCAAGTGCCCCAACTGTAGTGTCCCAGGTAATATTTCTGTACTAGAATCTCTTAGAAGAGACGTGATAAGAGTTTTTCTAAGGGAAGAGTTTTTCTATGCTCTACTTGAGAATTGTCACACATCTCTAATGCAATATAAAATGAAGTGATTGTCACAAATAGAACTCTTCAAGTCCAAATGGGCTGAATATGACCCAATTCTCAGTTTTTCCCTTGCAATAACAGGGTTAATGTTTTGGAAAAAAATATATTTTTAAAGAAAACTGCAGAAGATGCTGCTACATCAAAAATCAGCTCAGTTACTATTAAAATTATATTGAACAGAGTTGTCATATACAGCTTCTATTTTTCGATAGGCTATACACAGATGTGGATCTAAAGGAGGAAGTGTGTGACTTTCATCTTCTTGTGATAATTTTATGTTGATTACAAATTATATAGATGGAAGGAATGTGAAATAAAGGGTAATGAAGGCCAAGAAAAGAAAGGGAGATAGCATAGTTCAATGACTGAGAAACTAATTTTGGAATCAGAAAGATATGTTCACTTTAGAATTCCTAAACTTTGGAGCAGTGTGACCTTTGGTGTTTGGGATTATCTAACCTCTAAATTCCTTTTTCTATCTTAGAAGGATTCTTCATACTTCTTTACCACTAAGTGATCATGAAAGTTAAGAAACTAGTGACCCGAAGGAATAGCACAGTGACTTAGCGTGGGTGCCTTGCAAGCACTCAGTTATAAGTTCACAGTCCTGGTATCCCACGTGTGCCAAACCCAATCCTGGCAGCTCTGCTGTCTGTGATCTCTAGTGCCACAAATAATTTCTGGCTGCACCACAAAATGTTGTGGTGTTTGTAAACCCCATAGTATGATGAAATGCAGTCTTGGGTCTAGGAGCATGTGCTTTGTATGTTCAGGGCCCAGGTTCAATTCCAGACACTACATAACCATCCCAGCACTACCAGGTAGAGTCCTGGAAGACTGCAGCATTACTGGGCCCAATCAGCACCTCAGAGCCAGGCCCTACCATTGAATCTTCCAGGCAGTTTGGTTAAGAATTGCTGAGAGTGCCACTCCCACACATACCCATGCTGTATTTATTGGGAGACCCCTACCCCCTCCCCGAATAAATGGGGCGTGACGTCCATCAAATACTGCGATTTGAAGGAGGTACTAGTGCCATGGTCAGGAACTGCAACCTCTGAAGAGCATGTACATGAACACCACAGGGACCCCTGGAAAGCGCCATAATCATAATTCGTTTGCATCAGTCGAGAGTGCAGCTCGAAGCAAGCTCATGTGTTGTAAAGAAGTGCAGACCTCGGTGAGCATCATGGCTGAGTGTATAAGTACCCAAGCCTCCTCTGTTACTGCCACCCCAGCACCAGTTAATAATGTGTGGGCACCACAGCCAGGTATGTGTGCAACCCCCATCATAGCAAAACTGACATTGACAGGGGACCTGAAAGATAGTATGGGGGCAGGGGGATGTATCCTGCCAACCCCAGTTGGAATCCCCAGCAGCAGGTATGGTCCATTTCTCAAGAAACACCAGTAGTGATCCCTGAGCACTAAGGTAAGAATCGCCCCTGAAAACTGCTGGGTATGGCTCAAATCCCTGCACCCCACACTCCCCCCTCTCCAATAAATAACAACTTCAACATTCCACAACAAAGGGGAGGACAGGATAGGATTTTTTTTTTATGAAAAAGCTCCATATATAAAGTTTTTGTCACAGTATCTTAAACATTAAGAGCATTCAAGTACTGTATTTGATCTATTAAATTATTACCTTTATAATAATAAGCATTCAACTGTTATTACTTGGTTGCTGCGGTTGTAATTATTGCCTAAATTATTATGAACGAAATAAGTTAATTGATTGTGATGCTTAATGCTCACTGGTGGCCAATTTTAATTCAATTTTCTTCTAGCTCACTCCTTTTCTAAAAATGAGGGGTCAGGGTATGGACTGGAAAGTGCTGAGTGTCCTGCTAACGAGTAGCCAGGGCGTTTACTTTACAAACGTAAGTTCCTAGGCGTGAGTCCGTCACATAATATGGTCCCCTGAGCACATCCAGGAGTGATCCTGAGCGCATAGCCGGGAGTAAGCTCTGAGCACCGCCGAATGTGGCTCCCCAAGCAAAATAAAACAAACTAAAAATGGCGGTTTAAGTTGAGCTATAAAAAAGAGTCGCCATCTCCCTTTTGAACGAGGTCCTTCCCTTAAGGATGGTTCAGTGAGGGGCCAGAGTGACAGTACAACTGGTAGGGAGCTTGCTTTGCCCGACAGCCAACTCAGGTCTAATCCTAAGCATTGCATACGATCCCCGAGCCTGGCAGAAGTTATTGCTGAGTACAGAGCCAGGAGTAACTCACGATCAGCACCAGATGTGACCTATAAAATAATTTTTTTTCTTTTTGATTTAAAGAAATGCTTGAGTGATACAGGCATAGACGAAACCTCATAGAAAACCTATCCACAGATCACTGATTATTACTAAAATGGTCTCTCATTCAACTGGCCAGTTTCTCATGGTGGGGTAGGAGGACAGGAGCAGAATTGGGGTTGGGAAGAAGAGGTCTTAAAATTTGTATATAGAGATTATAAATTTTATATATTTTAATTTTTATTAATTTTATGTTTATGTGTTAATAAAGTAATTAAAACTTCTAGCTTATATTTTATCTATTTAATTTTTATATTTATTTGGTTTATATGATACATTATTTTATGTTGTCTATATATTTCAGATATATCTTATGTATTCCATATATCACATGCACTCCATATATTTTATATATTCACATATATCAATAGCCAGATATGGACTTAACCTCCATGATTGCGTTGCCTTCCGTGTAACTCGGTGAATCTCAAGACAAAGCTAGTGAAAACATTTCTGGGGATAAGACTTTTATGGCGAGAATAAGTGTGCGTTCCCCTTTAATGCAGTTGCCGCTGGTACCCAGGAACTTATGTGATGACAGAGTGTTTCACGTCGGTTAGAATTTCCAGGGTGCATAAGAGGCCATTAGGACAGAGGTTCCGGGAACTCGACGACGAGCGGCGTCAGAGACTCGGGGTTTGAACCTGCTGTTCTGAGTTCATGCGTCCTGAGGCCTTCCGCTGAACAAAGTCGAAGTTTGAGGTAGGCGGACACATGGATGCCCCAGAAAATCCCGCTGACCCTGACCTGGGGTCTCTCCCGGACGCCCCACATTCACCGGCCTTCGCCTGTGATAACCCTGAACTGCCGTCCACGTCATCTGAGGCGCCGCAGGCCCAAGAGCCAGAGTTACCGTTGACCTTGGGCGCTAGTGAGGTGGAAGCCCTTACTGACGTTGTCATGGTAGACCCACAGTGTCTGGTGAATATCTCTTTCTTAAATGATGATCAAGAATGGGTCAGTCTGGGCTCGGGATATGCCATTTTCTCGTCCGCGGAGAGCAACGAAGGCATGTTTCTGCTAGTTCGGTCGGAGACTGACAACTCTGTCATTATGGAGTCGAAGGTTTGTTCGACCACATGCTATCAGAAACTGCAAGGTGTTCTGATTATTTGGTCCGAGACTGATAGTGGCGGGGTGGCTTTGAGTTTCCAGTACCCACCTACCTGCCAAGAATTCTGGGAGACTATTTGTCAAGCCCAAGGTAAAGACCCGTGCATTGAAAACACGCAGGGTCTCCTAATTGAGTCAAAAGAACAGTTTGATAGACTGCTGCGCACCAGGGATGTCCATATGTCTGCCTGTGACATTAAAAAGCTGAAACAAATTGCTTCATTGTTTAAATTAGTGCTCCCCTGGCCAGTCTGTAAGCAAGAGCTGGCTCTCTTCTTAGAAGATGGAGGATATATTAAAAGATTCCTGCAGCTATTCCAAGTTTGTGAGAATAGGAATGATATTGAAGGTTTATGGCATTTGCATGGAGTTGTTAAAGGGATGTTATTTATGGACAAGACATCTCTGTTTGAGATAATGTTTTCCGATGAGTATATTATGGATGTATTGGGATGCCTTGAATATGACCCAGCTTTGGAGGAGCCAAAAAAGTACAGGGAATTTTTGACCCAGAATGCAAAATTTAAAGATGTTGTACCAACAACTAACTGTATACTTATACAAAAGATACACCAGACTTATAGGATGCAATACATTAGTGATATTCTCTCTCCTCTACCATCCATATTTGAAGAAAAACTTCCTAATCTTACAAATTTTATTTCCTTTAACAAATTTGAGATAGTCACCATACTGAAGGGAGATAAGAATTTTTTGTCTCAAGTTTTTACACTGTTAAAGGATCAGACTGCAAATAACGATAGACGGAGTGAATTGATTTTATTCTGCAGGGAATTCTGCTCATTTTCTGAGACATTACAGCCTCGTAGCAAGAAGGCACTATTTAATACCTTGGTCGAATCAGGAATTTTCCCAGCTCTAAAAGTTGTAATGCGTGTGAATGATTTGCAAACAAAGTCAGCTGCTATTGATGTATTTTCTTACATAGTTGAACATAGTCCAGCTTTGGTTCAATGTTTTGCAATGAGTGAAGCCCAACAGAATGAAGATGGTGACCTTTTCCTCAAGGTAGTAATTGAGCAGATTATTTGTGATAGTGATCCTGATGCAGGAGTGGCTATACAGTTAGTAGAACTCCTTAGAGTTTTACTTGATCCAGAAAACATGGTAGGATCACCTAATGCAGGTGAAAAAAGTGAATTTTTGAATTTCTTCTATAAACACTGTATTTATAACCTCACAGAACCAATTTTGGCTGTCACTTCAGAAGGTATATATGAAGAAGATAATGTAGTTAAGTCTGAGAAAATTAATAACTGCATCGATTATCATAAAGCACAGCTGCTTGGAATAATTTTAGAGCTGCTTACGTTTTGTATACAACATCATACATGTTACATCAAGAACTATATTCTGAGCAGTGATCTGCTAAGAAGAATCTTGATGTTGATGAATTCGAAGCATAAGTTCCTGGTCTTAGGTGTGCTTCGCTTTATGAGGAAGATGGTAGATCTTAAAGATGAACTTTATAACCGTTACATTATCCAGGGTAATCTTTTTGAGTTCATCGTAAGTGCTTTTCTGAATAATGGACCCCGGTACAATATGTTGAATTCAGCTGTTATTGAGCTATTTGAATACATAAGAGTGGAAGGTATCAGTTGTCTCATTTCATACACAATTGAAAATTTTTATGACGCATTTGAGTCGATAGACTATGTTCAGACATTCAAAGGATTGAAGATGAAATATGATCAGGAGAAAGACCAACAGAGTCAAATAGAGAAGAATTTACATTCTGTATCTGACAATAAAATTCTTGGCAGAGATTCCGAAGCTGTGGAAGAGAAAAAAGAAATTTCTTTCAATGAAACGATAGATGAAAAAGAAGAAGAAGAAGAAGAAGAAGAAGAAGAAGAAGAAGAAGAAGAAGAAGAAGAAGAAGAAGAAGAAGAAGAAGAAATAGCAATTCCTAAAAGAACATCTTCTTGTGACTCTATATTTACTTCCTCCATGTCTACTGAAGCTGCAGAGGGAACAAGTAGCCCAGATCCTATTATTGATGTTATCTCAGTAGATTACCCAAATGAAGAAGAAGAGGAGGAAGAAGGACCTTCCCCAAAGAAAAGACCACATTATAGCTCATAAAATCTTTAAAAAAAAAACTCTCAAATTCTGCGTTACTAAAATTCTAGCAACACTAGCTGACTGAAATTCTTGAAACCAAAAGCTTTCTCCTGAACTTTAAAGTAGATGATTGCTAGCAGAGATCTTTAATGTTATTTTAGCGGTTTTAGTTCAATAAAACCTTATGTTCTGTACTTTTAAAAAACAGAAGAGAATAACTTCTTAGCCAGAAGTTCAGTTGTGGGGGACAAGTTGATAATGCATATTTATGCAATTTTATTCTGGGGGTTATATATATGAAATAACTAAAGTGCAGGTACAAAGTTTATAACAGTATTTGCACAAATATTCTGTTATGGCTTTCCTTTAGTTACCATCTTTGAAACAAAATTTTATTTACACAGAAAGCAAAATCAACTGTAATTAAATATAAAGTTAATCTGTGGACATTTCTATGAAGATTTAACAAACATTTAGTCAACTGTATAATTGGAGGAAAGTAACTATTAGTTCATATTTTCCTTAATTAAAAATAAAACTGGATTGAAAATGTGACATTTGGTTTTTAGTTAAGAGATACCAATAATCAGGTCCCAGAGATAGTGCATGGTTTAAAGCATGTGCCCTGTAGCCTTCCCACCTCATCTTGTTTCCAGCCCTGAGCACCACCGGGTGAAGCTCTGGAGGCCCTCCCTTGTTTCCTTCCTGTGGTCCCCCATTCTACAGGTTGGATCTCTAGTCTGGTGCTGTTGCCCTGTAAAATTTTTCAGTGCGTCGCCTTTGGAATAGAAGTGTTTTCTGTAGAATCTTGAAAGGGTAGAACATGTTTTTAATTGCTCTATTTTGATAGCACAGCAGGTAGCGCATTTGCCTTGCACGTGGCCAACCTGGGTTGGATTCTTCCATCCCTCTTGGAGAGTCCAGTAAGCTACCAAGAGTATCCCACCCACATCGCAGAGCCTGGCAAGCTCCCCATGGTGTATTTGGTATGCCAAAAACAGTAACAACAAGTCTCACAATGGAGACGTTACTGGTGCCCACTCGAGAAAATCGATGAACAACAGGAGGACAATGCTACTTTGAAATCATCTCCTGATTCATTAATATAGTCATGATCACGATCATGATCATCCTGTTGTTCATCGATTTCCTCGAGCAGGCACCAGTAACGTCTCCTTCGTCCTAGCCCTTGAAATTTTAGAAAGTGCCATATTCAAGGCTCTTTCAGAGTCAGGAGAATGAGACCCATCATTGTTACTGGTTTTTGGCATATTGAGTGCGCCATGGGGAGTTTACCAGACTCTGCTGTGCGGGCAGGATGCTTTCAGTAGCCTGCCGGGTTCTCCAAACTAAGAACGAGATAATGAGATGTCACATGGCCATGAATGCAGCCACATGAGAGTGGTCTCAGCATGGCTGTGGCTGGTTCTAGAGGTCTTCGGCTGCCTGGGCTCTGCTCAGGGCGGGGAGGAAAACTCAACCCACCCCCCTCCAAGGGATCCTAGTGAGGACAGCCAGGCACGGGGGCAGGAGACTCTGCGCTGTTTTCTTCCAGGAGCTGGGTTTTAAGTCTCTGGGTCTTGGCCATTGATGGGATTACCTGGCATTGAGGGCAGTTGGTGGCTGTGATGCCTACCTACTGGAAGATGGGGGATCTGGGTGGAGGAGGCCCAGTCCCGATCCAAGCAGGCTTGGAGATCTCAGCCCCGGGACCCGCATGCCTGTGTTCCTCTGCCAGTTCCTTCATGCATGTGGAGAGTGGTCTCAGCATGGCTGTGGCTGGTTCTAGAGGTCTTCGGCTGCCTGGGCTCTGCTCAGGGCGGGGAGGAAAACTCAACCCACCCCCCTCCAAGGGACCCCAGTGAGGACAGCCAGGCATGGGGGCAGGAGACTCTGCACTGTTTTCTTCCAGGAGCTGGGTTTTAAGTCTCTGGGTCTTGGCCATTGATGGGATTACCTGGCATTGGGGGCAGTTGGTGGCTGTGATGCCTACCTACTGGAAGATGGGGGATCTGGGTGGAGGAGGCCCAGTCCCAATCCAAGCAGGCTTGGAGATCTCAGCCCCGGGACCCGCATGCCTGTGTTCCTCTGCCAGTTCCTTCATGCATGTGGAGAGTGGTCTCAGCATGGCTGTGGCTGGTTCTAGAGGTCTTCGGCTACCTGGGCTCTGCTCAGGGCGGGGAGGAAAACTCAACCCACCCCCCTCCAAGGGACCCCAGTGAGGACAGCCAGGCATGGGGGCAGGAGACTCTGCGCTGTTTTCTTCCAGGAGCTGGGTTTTAAGTCTCTGGGTCTTGGCCATTGATGGGATTACCTGGCATTGGGGGCAGTTGGTGGCTGTGATGCCTACCTACTGGAAGATGGGGGATCTGGGTGGAGGAGGCCCAGTCTCGATCCAAGCAGGCTTGGAGATCTCAGCCCCGGGACCCGCATGCCTGTGTTCCTCTGCCAGTTCCTTCATGCATGTGGAGAGTGGTCTCAGCATGGCTGTGGCTGGTTCTGGAGGTCTTCAGCTGCCGGGGCTCTGCTCAGGGCAGGGAGGAAAACTCAACCCGTCCCCCTCCAAGGGACCCCGGTGAGGACAGCAGGCATGGGGGCAGGAGACACATTAACAAGAATCTCTAGGAAAACTGGTAAGTTTTTTTAAAATTTTTTAAATTTATTTTATTTTTTTCAAATACCCATCCCTCCACCAGTGCCCATTTCCCACCACCACGGATCCCAGTATCCCTCCCACACCCCCATCCCCCCCATCCCACCCTGCCTCTGTGGCAGGGCATTCCCCTTTGTTCTCTCTCTCCTTTTGGGTTTTGTGGTTTGCAAAAGAGTTAAGCCTGATTTTCAGGGAGAAATGTTGGATGATTAACTTTACATTGATCACTTTGTATATAAGGAGATGTTGCGTGGCTGTGTAAGTGGCCCACAGTTCTGAAAAAATGTCCTGGCACCCACTTGCCAGAGCTATGCTTGTAGGAGCTCATGGTGACTGGGGTTCCATCTGGAGAAGGCTGGACGGCAGCACCTACCCCATCTGGGACCTCCCGGTGATATCGGCTCTGTTTGGGACCTGGAACATTCTCCCGGAGCTGTGGGGCCCTCCACCTGGTTTTCTTCTTTGTTGCTGTGTACTCAAAACTGGTAAGTTTTAAGAGTAATTTAAAAATATTGACACACACAACAAGGTGCTGATAAAAGTGACACAATACCTAGAAAAATATTACTGGGCCAGAGTGATATTACAGCTCTTGCCTTGCGCACAGCTGACCCAGGTTGAATCCCCAGAACCTCCTGTGGTCCCCAGGTCTTTGCCAGAGCTTATCCTTGAGGGAAGAGCCAGGAATAATCCCTGAGCATTGCCAGGTGATGTCTAAGAATCTTACAAAAAAAAAGTTACCTAAGTGTCAAATGACACACGAAGACTTTAAATTTTTTTTAAATAAACAAGTGTGTAATATGTAAAGTGCTTTATAGCAGAGTGAATGCAATGGAATTTCTAAAAATAACTTGCAGCACAAAGTTGAGGTTTGATTTTTATAAGGAATTGCTTAAAACTTCCTGGAATTGCTTAAATTGAAGCAATTCTTCATGTCCTGGAGATTTTAGAGTTTATTTTAATCTTGGTCATTGAACAAGATAGGCTACCTAAGTAGAAATGAGTTAGAGTTTTTCATAAAATATATATATTGAGGGCTGGGATTGTGTTAGGGTGTATGGGGAGAGACAGTTCTCAATAGGTGCCAGGGATTGAAGTTGGGGCCTCAAACACAGGAGTCATACTTTCTGGTCCTTTGAGCTATTTCCCTACCTCTGAGGGAGACCATTTACACTTTGCGACTGTGTCAGTAGGAGACCCTTCTTGGGCAAAACAGGGAGCATGGTGTGTAAGAGCAGCGAAGAGAGTGTACTCCTAAAACAAAATGGAGTTCATTGGCTCTAAAGACAGCTAGAATGTGGTCATGACCTCAGGAGATAGAATCATACATTGCAGAGGACACAACACAGCAGGGAAACTACATTTTCATTTCTGTCAAGACATGGTATTGAATGTTTTCATGGGATTTTTTCCCCCCAGTGTGGATGTCTGTCAAAAGAACATATTTTGACAAAGATTTCCTGTTTTCCTTCTAATTAGACTATCATAGGGAATAATATTCATGGACCTCGGATTTACATGCATATACAATTTGGGCTTGCAAAACTTACACTGAACTGTTTTGTTGGGAATCACCAGAGCACCTTAAAGAAGCAGCTATTTAGAACTAGACAGAAGAATTTTTGATCTTTTTTTGTTTTGTTTTGTTTTGTTTTCGGGTCACACCGGGGGCAAGCTCAGGGGTTACTCCTGGCTCATGCACTCAGGAATTGCTCCTGGCGGTGCTCGGGGGACCATATGGGATGCTGGGAATCGAACCTGTGTCGGCCATGTTGGTTGCGTGCAAGGCAAACTCCCTACCCGCTGTGCTATTGCTCCAGCCCCGATCTTCTTTTTTCTTATCTTTCAGTTAGTTTTAATCTGAGAAGGGGAAGGGGTGGGAGAGGAAAGAAAATATGCTGTGGGGGGAGATCATATTTCTTGCTGTATTCCCCTCATACATTTGTGTAAAAAGATGAGAGAGGGTATAAATATAATGGTAAGTTTAAAAAAAAAAAGAAGAAAAAAGGGCAGGTATTTCATGGAGCAGTATAACCTCTAGGAGCCCCTTTAACTATCTTTTCTCAGATACTTAATGCTAGGGAAACAAAATGGCAGACAAAATTGGTATAAAGGCAAATTGTCCATCAAATGGCATAACCTACTATTAAGGGAACAGTTAAGAGGTCAAAAAAAATACAGATAAGAAATCCTTTCTGTCTTCATACTGAGTAAAAAATTAACCAAAATATTCAGCCTCTGTAGATATTGTATATGAGAGCATTTTTGGAGAGGTGCCCTAGGTTCTTTTAGCTTTTAAACACATGACTTCTGGTAATTTCTGTGGCTTTTAAAGTCTTTCTAAATACACCAACAAGGGTAGGGGGCT